GGGGTAGTGGGGTGTCCCGGCCGGCTCGTATAAAGCGGCTGTCCCGGCCCGGCCCGGCCCGTCCCGCTCCGCTCCGCTCCCGCAGACGATGGTCCGGCGCTGGGCGAGGTCGCTGCTGCCGTGCAAGTCCTTCGCCCTCCTGCTGCTGCCGCCGCTGCTGCTCCTGCCGCTGCCGCTCGTGCTCCGCAGCCTGGTAAGAGCCGGCTCCTGTCCCCCTCCCTTCCTCTTCCACCTGTCCACACCCAAAAGCATCCTCCAGCTGTCCAGTCCCTTTTTTGGGGGGAGGCCCTTCATACCCGCCCCTTCGCCCTGTCCTTGCCCTGCACGTGGGCGCAACGGGAGGGTTTTCGCGCATCGCCCAGAAAAGTTCGCACCCCGAGCTGTCGGCCCAGGCTCGGGGACGTTGACACCGACCGCAGTCACGTTGTGGGATGGCGACGGTCGTGTAGCTCCACGCGCTGCGCTTCTGGGAGACGTGCAAGCCACGGATGAGGTTTCGTATCTACCCGTCGTTTCATAGTTGTCCGGGGCCAGGACAAAGCATCTCCCTGTGCTGGTGATAGATAATTTTCTATTCATGATAGAAAAGGTGATATCATGTCACCTCCACACTCTGCGCTTCTCCTTCTCCGCCTGGGAAATGCATTCCTGCCCAGGGCAGGGAGTCGGACTTGATGATGATCTGACCCTACATCTATAAACGAGCCACGGACATGCTGTGGGGCTTCGTATTTACCCATCGCTTCATTGTCATTCTGTGCAGGGGCAGGAAAGGGGCAGTTGTTCTGTACGGGGTCGGATGATAGAGAGGATTATATCACTCGCTAAAGGGACGGCTCGGGAAGCAGTAGGACCGTGTCGGCAAAGAATTGCAAACTGCTTATCCCCTTGCACCTTCCTCCGGGTGCAGCTTTGTTCTCGGTGGAGTTGCCCCTGTGTCAAGCTGGTGTAAAGCAGGCTCCCTGTAGTGTGTAGTTTCTTTGGCAAACCATGCTTCTAGCAAATACTGCACCTTTTAGAGTCAGTTCTATTAATAATGTTAAAGCTAGTCTTTTTTTTTCTTTCGCTGACCTAAATAGCTCAGTATATGTTAAACTACAGAAAAAAAACCCAACCTCACGCATGTTTCTAAACAAAAATAATAGCCCTTTTGGGTTTACCTGGCTAAATAATGTCAGCCCTGCCTTTCAGTTGGCCACAGAGACTTCATTGCAAGACAAATTGCTATGGGCTTGGGAGCAAATCATAGTTAAAGTGGCTTGAAAAAGTAAAAGTCTGGAGGGTAAGTGCTGTACAGTCAATACTGTGGAGCACACCCATTGCAATGTAAAGGGTGAACGAGTGTCTTTGAAGTTTGGGAAGAAGGAATATCATGTCATCATTGTAGGAGATTACAGGATTGCACAACAGGGAAGTAAAATTCCTGCCAATGATCACTTTCTCACCTGTACCAGAAGTACCCATTATGTTTTCTGCAAACTGTTCAAAGACTTAAAAAAAACAAACCACGTTCTACAATTGTTCCTGTTAATTACAGCTTGCCTTCCATACATTTTAACTCCTATTAATTACAGCTTACATACATTTTAACCCTTGTTCTTGTTCACATTTGAATTGCCTGTATTTAATGGAGTTAATTTATAGTCACTCTTGCATTTTTGAACTTTCTGTAAATTATTTACTCTCGTGTTCTGCATAACTGGTGCTTCTGTCATGTTGTCAGGTTGCTTTTCTTCAGGTCCATAGAGCTGTTTTAGTGTTTCTCATATTGGCAAAATGCTCAAAAAATTATACAAGAAGTTTCAGCATTCATTCAGCTACTGATGTACAACCTACAATTGCATCATCAAGTTGCAACAATCAAGGATGGCGACCCAAGGAGCGCTGGCTCTCTCTTACTGTGCAATTCATACAGAGTTGTTCCTTTTACTGAAAGTTTTCTGTAGCTACTCTCTTCTAAAGTTGACAGTCAGTAAAATGATTGGTACCACTTCCTACTTGTATAAAAAGCTTATCAACCAAATTAAGCAGAAACACCTTGCTTTTTGTAAAGATCCCCATGCAGTACGTCAGTAAACATCACTTCTTTGCCACCACCTGTGCTCTTGGCAGAAAGATCCCATTTGTTATATTAGAATAAAACCCTTTAATCAGTTATTTTAAACAAGCAAATTGTGAACCAAGAAGCATTTATGCTTAAAGATGTTAAACCCTGTTTACAGTCACTTAATGAATACTTGCTTCCCACAGGAAGATTGAATTTACAAAACCAAGGATTGCTAGGTGATTAAAATGTCTAATCAACAGTTTAAGTAGACCTGTTTCAACATTTCTAATCTAGGAAATCCCACAGTTGAGCAAACACAATATAATTTCAAGTGAGTAGCTTAATACCTATAATAAAGCAATGCACAGATACTTCAAAGATTAGACCAGTAATTTCAAAACCAACTGGAGACATTTAAAATCACAGTTTCGGGTGTTGAACTTCAGGCACTTTATAGAGGCCTGATCTTCAGAAAGCACTAAGCATCCACATTCGGAAAACTGAACACCTTTAAAGTGGGCAACTACAAACCGAGTTCAGCCAAATCATGGTTCATCCTTAAAAATCTTGCCTATTAGGAAACAAATGTGCTGCCTTTATTGAACATCCAAACACTAGCTGAATGAACACATGTGGGCCACCTGTTGTCTTCCTATGGAAATTCTGGTTTTCCTGTATGCTAAGCTTTGTCCCGTGGTCTTTGTGTATATATATAATACAAACACCAATGTGAAAAAGAGTTTTGCATATATGCTGGTTTCAGGAGAAGGCTTGGGAATGCAACATTTAAATTGGCATGTCCTCACCAGACCTATGTGTGAGTAACTGATAAGATGGAAACATGAAATGTCTCTCATTTGGTGTTTGACTTCTTTTAGAAGTGGGCTTCTATCCAAAGGACTCTAACGGTAAGTAGTAGGCAATTGCATCATCACAATCAGGCCAAAAGTTCAGCTGTGGGGTGACACCTTGGTCGCATTGAACTCAGTGGTAAGGCTGCCCTTGCCTTTCATGGACCCAGCACTTCTCTGGAAGGTACAGGTTTGCCATTGAAATCTACTGGGTTGTAGTAGCCATGTCTCCAAGAACATTTTCCCTGGGAAAGGGATCATTGCATCGACTACTTTCCCCTCCTCTAATTGGTTGTGTAGTTTAGATGCTGCCACTTATATCCTGGGATCTACTTTTGGGGCGTCTGCTATGTATTCAGCAACGCACTTAGTTTACTGTGCGTAAGAACTTGCTCACTTTTGTTCCCACAGGAGGCCAGATGTGGCTATGTCATCATCCTCATGGCTGTGTACTGGTGCACAGAGGTTATCCCCTTGGCTATTACTTCTCTCCTCCCAGTTGTATTATTTCCTCTGTTTGGCATCCTGGAGTCTAAAGAGGTAGGTATTGATCCCTGGGCAGTGCAGACTTAAACCATAAATTTCAGGGCCTGAGACAGGCTTCCCTTTGTGTATTTGAGAAAATGTTTCCATACATCTCAACTTTGAGCTGCTTACCTTCTGGTTAACATCCATCCACCCTAAGCAGCTTCCAAGATGCCGATGTCAACACTCATCAAACATGTTTAACATCTGTAGTGTAAACCAGGACCAGAAAGATACAGAAACAAATGCATGATGTTGACACAGATGTGACTATGTATGTGATGCACGGTGTGGATTGTGTCCTTCATGGGTAGATGGTCCAGGTGGAGGAGAATAGCCTCCTACTGTAGCCAGTGAGTGGAAGGGATCTGTGCTTTGGCAAGGAAGGTTCCTAGTTTAGACCCGTCGGTCTGGTACAGACATTACACTTTTACTGGTGAAAGTGATTGGCAACTGGTTTATACACATAACAGAACAGAAGTTCAGCTCACAAAACCAGTCTATACCATCAACAGAACAGATGTTTGGCATGTATAGACTGGTTTAAAAATGGTGGAACCCAGTCTAAGGTGTTGTCCCACCCCCAAAAAAGGCTAATATGTGTTCTGTGGACTACCTATCTAAACTACACCACTTACAGAAAACCGTGTAACTTAGATCAATTCCTCCTTGGGTGTTTTGAATGTCTGTGCCAAGCCTTCTTGGCTGAGGGGTCATTATTAAAGTGGCTCACAAGCCAGCACTCATACTTTAGGAGCTTTCAGATGTGTGAGACAAATGCACTATATCCATGTCCAGTGGATGGTACTTGTAAAGGATAACAGTCTTTTTGCCAGTTCTTCAGCTTGCTGTATTGGCTCAAGTGGTATTTTTCTGTGCTTAAGTACAGAAAGTCCAGGATTCAGTCCCTTCTGATGACTAACTATGGGAAGGATTATGCCTGATTTTTCAGAAGGGCTGAGCTACCATTTGTGGCTTGGCCTCTTGGCAAACCAGTTGTGCATGCAAAGCAGAGAGCAACTAACCTCCATTCTTCACAGGTCATATACTTAATAGGTCATTAGCACTGAGTTCATAAATGCTCCCATTACACCCGCTTCCTGTCAGGATGCAGTTTCCCTAGACATTGGACAAACAGAGAAGAGGTCTCTGGTCTCGTCAGCTTGACATCCACATAAGCAAGCACAGGCTTGGGTATGGGAGCACAGGAAAATGCCTATGCTGGAAAGGAGGAGAGGTTTACAGATGGCTTCAGTGAGAGTAGGAGGAGGACTGGAGTGCTCTGGCTGTTGACTGGATGAGACTTTGGCAGCTAACGGAGACTCCTTTGTTGCAGGTGTGCATGCAGTACCTGAAGGACACCAACATGCTGTTTGTCGGGGGCCTGATTGTAGCCGTGGCTGTGGAGCACTGGAACCTGCACAAACGCATTGCACTGAGGGTCTTGCTCATCGTTGGAGTCAAGCCTGCACTGTAAGAGGCCCCATTACACCCGCTTCCTGTCAGGGCAGCCCTGCTCAGCACCAGCTGACACTTGGAGGCTGGGGAGAGAAAGTTCAGTGGAGTAACACAGAATGAAAGCTGTGGAACCTGCAGTTGTTTCATGCAATTGCCAAGGGTTTCCAGAGGCTGCCTCCACCCTTGCAGGGATGAGCTCATGCCCTAAAACCCAGGACAGACATACGACTTGGCTCTCGCCAAGTCAAGGGGAGTTTTGCTACTGATTTAGTTGGGTCCTTCATGCCTCCATCAGGTCTTGAGTGCTGAGTGTGGCTTTGAAGTGTTTAGATCTTCATTCCTAGCCCTTAACACTGGGCTCTTAAGTTTCTCAGTTGGGTCCTTTGTGTTGCCTCATGGTCAGACACTCGGTTCCTGTTTGAGTCTTTGAGGAGCTCAGAGCAAAGGCACAGCAGAGAATTACCCGTGTTAATCTATGAAACTGACCCTCCAAATTTCCCCTTGGGTTTGAGATCCTGCCCATTCACCACTTTCCATGGCCCTGAAGTGCATCAAAATTGTTGCGTAATGCAGACAGGCATCACTCGAGGAATTGGTCCCTGCCTGTGTGCTGTAGACCAGCAATGCAGGGCAGTGCCTTGGGCATCCGTAAAGAAGGGCCGTGACAGCTGATGCTTAGGCCCTGGTATAGCCCAGACACGACCAGTGGGAACAGGGCAAAATGGATTTGCTGGTTTACATTGCCAGAGCAGTAGGAGAGACTAGAGAGGGACTAGGTGGGTGTTGTTTGTCTTGGGAAGACCGTTTTATTTCTCTGAATCCAGCAATGATCTTCTGTACAAATACACTGGGATTTGGCCCTGATTATGAGGATCCGAGTGCCGCTGAGGTCTCGGTTGTCACTCAGTTGCAGGAACCCACATTCTGCACTGGTCACTTATTAGCAGAGCAGGCAAGGCTGACAGGAGATGGCCACAGTGCCCACTCTGGCTGAGGAAGCCTGGTACAGCTGGTAGTGGGGGAGAGCAGCTGGTTTGTGTTAGCTGAGATCCAGAGCCCAGGCCATGTTAGAAAGCATCGTTCTCCAGGCTGGATGGAAACCAGGGAAAGCAGCAGTGGTTTGTGGTTTGCTGTTCAATAACAGGTTCTTTTCTGTGCTGGCTAAATTATAGGCACTTCCAGCTGGGACTGAGCAACAGTTGGATTACTTTTATGGAGATGCACAGGGCTAAATAGTTTCTGTGTGTATTTCTGCGAAAGCAGTGGAGCTGCATCAGCAGAGAATTTGGCCCAGGCTTTGCTTTTCTAGAGCATAGATGCACTCCAACCTGAGCCCAGCTTTCATGGGAAGCCCTGCAATAGGTCCTGTGGCCAAAGGCCAGCAAGGCTTTTGGGTTTATCCTTCCTCCCTCTCTTCTGTCTCTCTCTCTGCAGCTTAATGCTGGGGTTTATGGGAGTCACCGCCTTCCTGTCCATGTGGATAAGCAACACTGCCACTACTGCCATGATGGTTCCTATCGTCCAGGCTATCTTGGAACAAATGTACAGCACTGAGGAGGATTTGGCAGAGCCACCTGTTCCGCAAACAAATGTTGCGATCGAACTGGAAGAAAAGAATGCAGCGAACACAGTGGGGGTGCAGGGTAAGGGGCCAGCTACAGTCCATTGGTATTCCTGAAGAGCATGGTGATCCATAGCACACTGACCATGTCAGAAAAAAATCTCATGCCTCCCATACCACCCTGGCTCAGTCCGTGGCAAAACAAGCCTGCTGGTTTGTGCTGCAAAGCCACGTAATACCTGAAGCTTTTTTATGTATGCTGAACCCCTCTGATCCTCTTGAAATCCAGGGGCTCTCAGAGTCACTGAGTATCAGGCCCAGGTGAGCGGTAACAATTCAAAAGTACCCATGTGACTTCAAGTCCCAGTTTTAAAAGTGACCTGGCTAACCAGGAACCACTTGCAGCATCAGTGGGCTCTCAAGTCACTGAGGCAGTTTTGAAAATTTTACTTGATAGCATCTTGTGCTGCCATGAATCAGCAGGTGCACCTTTATCAAGCAAGTTGCAGGGGAAGTGACCCAGTAATACATGATCCAGCAACACCCACATGAAAGCTAAGATGAGTTGGCATTTGCCCTACCCTGGAATAGGTTCTGGTGGGGTTCCTTGCCTCTCCATACTTGAAAATATTTTTCTCTCTATCTTGGGTATCCCCCAGGCTCCACCCCTGCAACTACGCTCTCTATATGGGTAGAATCATGCACTTGTGTCAAGTCTCATTAACTTCAGTGGGTCTCTAAGCAGGCAGGGATGTGTCCTTGCAGAGCTTGTATGATTGGAGACTCCAGTACCTTTTACTGTGAGGGGAAGAAGCAGAACAAAGCAATGGGCAGGGACCTGAGAGGCCTGCATGCATAATCAGGAACTCAATCAGCTGCAGGTTCTGTGTCACCTTGGTCACAATACTAAAACTCCCTAGCACCTCAGTTCCCCTCTCTGTAAAATGGGGTGATTATTTCTCTACCTCACAGGGGTGTTGTGAGAGGAAAACCCACAAGACATGCACATACAGTGGGGACGTGGGGCACACAGATGCCTCTGATTTAACGTTGTCACGTGGTACTTGGCAGTAATGTGGCCAATTTTGAACATCAGAGCTGTTAAGGAAGGCAGGCTTTCTTCTATCTGATAATGCATGATTCAGTTTTGATGCTCAGTGGTGAGCAGTGCTAGTGGCAGTTTTTCTGGATTTTGAACTGTCTTCCAAGTGCTGGTTTACCATTAACAGTTTGGTTTAGCTTCCTAACTTACCCCCTCCCACAAGGCAGGTAACCCAGATTGTGAATGGTGTCCTGTGGCATCTTGGAGTTGAGTGCATTTTTCATGGTGATTTCATCCAGCACAACTATTGAAATCACATTTTCAGATTGGATTTATCTCCAAAAGGAGAAGCAAGACAACCGCTGAGCTATAGAAACATAATACAGCCCTGATACAAGCAGTTGCAGTTCCATTAACTTCAGTGGCTGCACCAGGAAAGAATTTGATCCTCTGCTCTTTTGCATTTATTGGCAGTCTCCAATGCTGCTCTTCTGTGATGGAGGCAAAGGCTGATATCCTCCTTGTACAGAAAAGGAAACTGAGGCACAGAGAGGCAAAATGATCTACCCAAGTTTATACAGAAAGTCCTTGGCAGAACCAAAACTTGAACCCAGATCTCCAGAATCCCTAACTAGCGCCATCATTATTATAAGGTCACCCTCTCTTCAACTCCCCATGAACGTTACTAGAAAGGGATTGGGCCACATAACCTACATAATGTTGCATTATTCAAGATAAGAGGCACAGACAGATTGCAGCACTGTCCATGCTGTCCTCCTGAGTACACTCCTCCCAGAGCTTTTCCAAAGGCAAATAACACTCTTCTCTTCTTTCTAGTCATAAGTAATGGACACATCCCTGATGACCCCACAGCTTATAAGGAAAGCGAATTAAAGAAGCGCACCTGCAAGGGGCTGATACTGTGTGTGTGCTATGCTGCTAGCATCGGAGGAACTGCAACGCTCACAGGAACAGGGCCAAACCTGGTGTTGAAAGGCCAGATGAATGAGTAAGTACTTTTCACCATTTCTTTTTAGGCTGCTTAAAAGGCCTCACTTTGTTTTCTGGCCAGCCAAATGGGTGGCTTCTAAGCAATACCTGGGTGATTTACATCATAATGAATAACCTATTTTATCCTCTTCATTTTCTTCTCCAACACAACTGGGCAGCTAGATAGCCAAATGAAAGCTGCCTGTGCAATTGGTATAGATCTATGGGAGGGTTTGATGCACTTGCTGATGACATGCCGAGAACTGTTTGATCACGTGCTGTTGGCTCCTACTTTTTTCCAGCTAACACACAGCAAATGAGAGGGAGAAAAGCAATGAGAAGCAGAAGGAGACGGTGTGACCTCTTTTCATCTAGAAATACATTAGACTCTTTAAAATGACTCTTTCATATACGCATTTGCTGTAGAAGCCACAGGGATGTTATTGAGGAGGAGAGGAGGTGTCCACAAGACTGTCTGTCTCTGCTATAATGCAGTCTTGACTATGGAATTGTTTGGGAATCGTTGATTCAGATCTGTGATCTCTGTAGTAGTAATTCCAGTAGACTTCACATCAGCCCTTCACTAATTTCTACCAGAAGATGGCTAGTCCCTCAGCCAGTACGCTAACAGGTTTTAAAATTTAGCTGGCTAGAATAGAACCAGTAGAAACCAGCTGAAGAATTGGAACTGACATTTCTACTCAAGTTACATCTAGCCTTGACCGTGAATGCAAAAATACAGGGACAAAGTTAGAGACATTTCAGATTCTGAGAACCAAATCCTGATCCTACTGAAGTGAACAGATTTGTGGTTAGTTTCCATAGAAACAGACTCATACCCTAAATTCCTGTCTATATGCAGACCCCCTTAGTTATAAAGAGCAAAGAGAAAGCAGTGCTAGAAACGCCATGATGGATGAGCAGATGTGGTAAAAGCAAAACTACTGCTAAGGATAAGGTATGGGTGGATCTTTACATTGCCTTGTGCAGCGTACATTGGGTCTTTCCAATGGCTTGACCCAAACTAGGAACAGGAGCTGCTGAATGAGTTTACTGTAAAATATTCTGTAACAAACAGCAAGATATTATACAAAAGGCATCTGGGGGTCAGTTTGAACCCAGGAGCCTTTTGGAGCTATGGTGATGCACTTTATTAATCATGGATAAGCCTTGAGGTTCATGGATAATTCCCATCAGCAGATAGTAAAGGGAGAATAGACTCATCAGTGATTTGACATTGTTTTTTTTTCTTCAGATTGTTCCCCAGAAATGGTGATACTGTAAATTTTGCTTCCTGGTTTGGATTTGCCTTCCCTAACATGATTCTGATGTTGATATTAGCTTGGCTTTGGCTCCAGTTTTCATTCATGGGACTCAAGTAAGTATTAAATTGCACTACTGGCTAAACACTCAGCAGCTGTAAACCATTCAATTTAAGCCAGCCAAGAGTCTGGTCCTATACCTTTCTTTCTTATTATCAGGGATAGGGTCCTCAAATGGCTGCTGTTTAGCTCTCCTGTCTGGAGGAGAAGCATTGAGTAGCAGAGGAATGACAGCATCTTTATCAGGAACTTGGTATACATACAGTGTCGTGTTGGGGTTGAAGTGAACTAATTATAACTACATTTGCAGTTAGCACTGATATTTCTTTTCCAGAAGTACCTAGAAGCCCCAGCTGCAATTTTCTGTTCTGCTGTCACTGGTGTTGTACATCTGCCTAGTGAGAGCTCCCAGGAGCTTGCTATTTCAAGAGAGAAAAGGTGGCGGTGGTAGAAATAGGCATAGTAGATCAGTGGCAGAGATGGGACTACCATGCTGCTCCTCTGTTTCCCAGTGACCTCAGTCAGATATGATAACTGGTGACCTTTATGTGCAGAGGAAAGACTCTGCAAGATAAGTGATTTACCTTGTAGTGTGGCTTAGCTGTAGACAACCTAGTACAGAAGATGGCAAGCGTGATTCCGTGCAACTTGGGAGTTTCCAAACTTGTTATGGAAATAAAAACACGATGTTTTTGCAAAACCAGAATTGTGCCAAGACACTGGGTTTCAGATCTGCCTGATTGGAGGGACATGTAACTAGGACAGCTGCTTGGCATGTGGGAGTCCTGGGTACAAAGCCCTGATACAAAGCAGGATTTTTCCCTTTGGACCACTGAATCTGGCAGAGCAGGGAGTTGGAACCTGGATCTCCCCCGTTCAGGACCAGTTCTCTAAGCAAGTCCAAGTATGACAGCTCACTCCTGGAGGACGCTTGATGGAAATCAGCATGACCCCGCGGAACATTTTGGCTTTGACCCCACAGCATGTTTAGATGGAATCTTCTGTTTTCAAAAACCTCCTTACTAGCACCAACCTATAGCTAGCAACATGGTCCTGCCCCCAGGAGGAACAGGTTTTTTCTCTTGCAAGCACATATGTATAACATCACCTCTTTTTTATATGAAGTTTGAAACAGACCTGGGGCTGCGGGATGGAGAGGACCGACAAAGAGAGAGCTGCATTCAGTGTGCTTAAGTTAGAGCTCCAGAAACTGGGTTCCATCTCCTTCGCGGAATTCAACGTCCTCATGATATTTGTTCTTTTGGTTCTCCTGTGGTTTACACGTGACCCTGGTTTCATTCCTGGCTGGGCCACCTACCTCTTCAACAGGAAATCAGAGTAAGTCTGCATCCTTCAGTGTCTTGACTCAGTGACCACTATGTTCCTCAGCTGTATTCCCCTTTGACTACCAACCTGATTTCAACTCCTGTTTCAAGTGACAGGTAGAAGTAGTTGCACAGATTTGATCTTGCCTCTTACTTGGGACCAGATAATTGATCATATTTGATCTAGTGAGGGGTAGAGATTGGAAGGCAATGCAAAGGGTACTGCAGGATGAGCCTAATGGAGCTGATATGAGAGGAAATCATTTACATGCATCTCAATCTAGTTTATTTTCTCTTGGTTCTTCAGTTCTGTGGTTTAGTTATCTTAATATACGGCTTTGCTGTCAAAGTGACTGTACTCGGCTCGCGTGGGCCAGTATCACCTGAATTTTGGATTGTCACTTGCCATCCACAGCTGCTTAATTTTATTGTGGTAGCAGTTAGTAGCCCCAATCATGGACCAGTACCCCGCTGTGCTAGGTGCTGTACAAACACAGAACTTGTCAGTCCATGCCCCAAATACCTTGAAGTCTAAGTTAATCATTCTTGTCTCCAGACATTGATGTATCCCTAGAGGATAGAGTGAGCTTGTAATGCTTTTATACGTAGAAACGTTCTGTGCAAGAGAAAATGCGCTAGATAAACTAACCGCTATAAACCATGCGCCTTCTTAGCAAAGAACGTTAAACATCCAAGCTCTGTTTTGAAGGCTTGGAATTGCTACAGAGTAAACTTAGCAAAACTGAGTAACTGGCTGAGAGTCCTCAGTTCCAGTTTCAAAAGTGGTTTACGCTCTTATAGGTATAAGTCCCAATAACCATGAGTGATAATTAGATGCCACAGTGTCTTGCTCGTACTTGCAGTTAATGCATCTCAATCAGTCAGTGTTCTGTTTTTTTAATTCGCCTCTGACCTTTGACAACGTACTTTATCTCTCTGTGCCTCAGTTTTCCCAATACAAAGTAAGGTAATTATATGTCTCTACCTGAGAGAAGTGTAGGAGGAAAAACCCTTGTTGGAAGGGAAAATCCTCTGATGGAAGGCATGTTACAAATTGCTGAATAACAAGCGAGATGATATGAATACAGGTACGCTTTGCTAGCCTGACTACTAGGAACTAGAATTTAGGGGGTACTAAATGTTGCTAAATTTTATAGGCTACTTTTGAGAGATCAGGCAAATAGAAGTAAATAAGACATTTGGCTTGTCACTCGCTGGGGTGGGGAACCACATGCTGGGGGAATGCCATGTTATGGGAGAAGGGGATCCTATACTCTGAGCTGCCTTTTTCCTTTTCCTCTAGGTTTGTCACTGATGCCACGGTCGCTATCTTCGTTGCACTGTTACTGTTCATCGTTCCGGCAACTAAACCCAAGTTCCTTTGCTGTAATCGAGATAGCTTTGATCCTGAACAGAGGGAACGAGGTAATTGAAAGCGGGGTTGACAATATTTGTTTGACTTGGAGGACCCCTGCCCCCCGAGTCCAGTTCATGTTCTCATAGTGACATCGCCGCTGCCAATGCTGAGATTGAGGAACGGTTCCTCAGGTCCTGTTGGCTGTGCTGGAAGAAACACACTACTGCAATTTGCTTTGCAATGTATGCAGTCCCTAGGACCTAACTACCACATTGCTTTTGTGTATCCGAACTGCACAGTTTTCTCACGATTCTGCCCCCCAGTGCACCTACACACTTTCACTGCTAATAAGAATTACAGATATGATCAGGGCAAGAATAGTACTATATATATG